TGAGTTTAGTTTAGTTTTGTTTTGTTTTTTCTTAAGGTTAGTGCCCTACAACTTGAACCACAACTCCACTTCTGGATTTTTGGTGGTTAATTGGAGGTAAGAGTCTCACAAAGCCGGAAGTGGCGCTGTGGCTCAAGTGGTAGAGCGCTAGCCTTGAGCTGAAGAGCTGAGGGACAGCGCCCAGGCCCAGAGTTCAGGCCCCATGACCGACACACACACCATACACACACACAAAGAGTCTCACAGACTTTCCTATCTTGGCTGGTTTCAAACTGTGATGCTCCAATCTCAGCTTCCTGAATAACCAGGATTACAGATGTGAGCTACTGGTGCACAACAGTCCGACTGAGTTTGAATGTTGTGTCCACTTGGTAACTCTGGTCTTAGAGGAAGGACAGCTGTTTGTGGGTGGGTGGGTTGAAATCTTAGGATTTGAATTCAGTGCTTTAGGCAAGTGCCCTACCACTTGAGTCACATTTCCATCCCTTTTTGCTTTACTTTAAAATTTCAGATAGATTTTCATGCTTTTTGCTTGGGGACAGCCTCAGATAGAAATCCTTTTGCCTAAGCAGATTCCAACTTGAGAATTGACAATTGTTAATTAGCTTCTTCATTTGTGAAAACAGGAATAATACTAATTTTTGTTGTAATTGTTCAAGACCCGGTCTCAAACTCAGTTTCTAACGCTTTACAACCATTGGCAAGCACCCTACCACCTGAGCCATGCCTCCAACCCCAATACTACTACTTATTAACTCATAAGCTGTATAAAGGATTAAAATGGCCAGGATAGATTTTTTTTTTGTCGGTCGTGGGCACTGTCCCTCAGCTCAAGGCGAGCGCTCTACCACTTGAGCCACAGCGTCACTGCCGGTTTTCTAGTGGTTTATTGGAGATAAGAGTCTCATGGAGTTTCCTGCTGGGGCTGGCTTTGAACCGCCATCCTCAGATCTCAGCCTCCTGAGTAGCTAGGATTACAGGTGTGAGCCACTGGCACCTGGCTGTCAAGGATAGATCTTTACACATAGAAAGCACTTGAAAATTTACGTCAATTATTTTTAGAAATCTTTAATTTTTAGAAGCATTTGTTTAAATATTTTACCACACTAGTATCTTCCTTTATATCTATTTGAGTTACATGCTCCTGGTAGAAGTTTAATGATGCTGGGTGCCAGTGGCTCACCCTGTCATTCTAGCTATTCAAGAAGGCTGAGATCTGAGGATGGAGGTTCAAAGCCAACCAGGGCAGCAAAGGATCCCTATGACTCTTACCTCCAATTGATCAGCAAAAAGCCTTAAGGGATAGTACCTAGGCTCTGAGTCCAAGCCCCAGGACCGGCATTCCCCCCAATTTTTTTTTTAATGAAGGGGCCAATTTCAATGGATGTGTAATATATATTGTACCCATTACATTAAATGAAAGCTCAGATGTATTTGTACTTTTTTAGGAGTTTTTTTTTGCTACAAAAGGGAAAACAAAGTAAGTACCACCTGCTTCATTGTGTGAGTTTGGGCTAGAAAAAGGAAGAGGGCACGAGTTTCCAAAGATACTCCAAATGGAAAAATGCTTAATATACTGAAGGCAGGGTTTAATTTGAATCTCTAAATGTTGGAAGGTAGCATGCTCGTATTAGAAGGAATGTTAAAGAGAAAAGTTCTCTCAGATTGAGTATGTTGTCAAGAACAGCCCAAGTTTGGTATAGCTATTCTCTGAACAATTTGAGATTTGTTCTTAGACAAGAGTCTTTTGTCCAAAAACATTTTTTGGGGGGGGGGGGAGAGGAATCCGGTCGTGGGGCCTGAACTCTGGGCCTGGGCGCTGTTCCTCAGCTCAAGATTAGCGCTCTACCACTTGAGCCACAGCGCCACTTCCGGCTTTTTTCTTTTTGCTTATGTGGTGCTGAGGAATTGAACCCAGGGCCTCATGCATGCAAGGCAAGTGCTCTACCACTGAGCCACCTTCCCAGCCCCTCCAAAAGCGTTTCTTATCACTTGATGATGGTTATTACTATCCCCACCCTTATTAAGTAGACATATAATTCCCCAAGACCTTTTGCTGGAGATTTTTGATATCCTAGTATTTTTATATTATTATTAAGAAGTTGTACAAAGAAGTTCCAACTCCATAAGTCAGGTTATGAATACAGTGCATCTTGATCAACGTCACCTCTTCCATCATTTCCTAGGACTTGAATTTTAGCTTAAAGTTATTAAAACAATCTTTTTATTTAATAATGCCTGATATTCCACTCCAGAGTATTATCTTAACCTGACAGGAATATCATGTTTTAAGTTATTCCAGCCATACAAATGACCCAATTTATATCATTAAGAAATATTTGGAACCTGTAACTGGTGGCTCATGTCTGTAATCCTAGCTACTCTGGAGACTGATATCTGAGGACCATGGTTGAAAGTCAGCCTAGACAGAAATGTCCACGAGACTTTTATCTCTAAAAAATACTCAGAAAAAGCTGGAAATGGTGCTGTGGCTCAAGTGGTAGAGGGCTAACCTTGAGCACAAAGAGGCTCAGAGACACTGTCCAGTGTCCAGACTCTGAGTTCAAGCCCCCTGACTGACAAAAAATATTTGGGAGGTGGAGTGTGGCTCAGTGCAAGCATGAGGCTTTGAGTTCAAACGGCAGTACAGTCACAGTTTTGGGGGGTTGGGGTTATTGCTCAGTCAGATAGAGTATATGCTTGGTATTTTTGCAGCCCTAGGTTCAATCCTTAGCACCAAACATTTGCAGAATATGAAAGTATGGTTAAAGATCAATGAAGACTTACATGAATGCCCTTTCTTGCTTTCTCTTTCCTACAGTATCTTTTTGTTGGAATCTTACTAGTCTTTTGAAATCCTGTTTACATGACACTGTTTTCATTGTTGCTATATGCAGATAGTTTGAGTTTTTGGCTTTCTAGCTCTTTCCCTAATATATTATGAGCTCCTGAAGACTAGAAATGTATCTTACTTACCTTTAAATCTCCTAAAGCACTCTGCTTCCCAGAATACTGATACTTAGGTATAAATATTTTTAAAATGAATAGTGTAATTTAGTAACATTTTTGTTGGAAATTTTGGATTCATGGTATTTAAGTAGATGTTAATATTTAATATGATAAGCATGAATAACCTCCCCTTTCCTAAATTTTTACTGTTATTACTAAAACTTTATTAGTTGAATATGCAATCTCTCTTTCCCTTCACTGCTTCTGAAGTCTCAAAACAGAGACAAGTTTCAAGCAAATCTCCCTTCTACTCCATTTCTTTCTTTCTTTGGTTTTTGTGTTCCATCTCTTTTACAGCTTTATCTTTTACTATAACTCATTTTCTCTGTTTTCTCTTCATTCTTCCTGCTTGTAGTACCTTTCAACAATTTTTAATACTTCTTGGTAACTTTATTTTCTTGTCACCTGCTCTTTCTGTTTTTGGACTTTCTCTTTGGCTTTGCCCTCAAGGTACCAAACAATATAAGATTAGATAGGGAGGAGTCCAGCTGGGGAAAAGTCCAACTACCTGTTGGCAGCTTTGGGATGAGAAATTGGCTGCTTGAGGGGATTTTGGGACAGAAGTCCCTGTGGCCTTCCTGGGAGAGGCCAGCACCCAGGAGGACAAATGGGACTCTGAGGTGAAAAGCTATTCCTAGCTCCTCTTTCTACCTCTCTGTTCTGTATTTTTTTTTTTTAGGGTCGGTCATGGGTCCTGAATTCTGGGCTGAGGCGCTGTCCCTCAGCTCTTCAGCTCAAGGCTAGCGCTCTACCACTTGAGCCACAGTGCCACTTATGGCTTTTTCTACTTATGTATGCCAAGGAATTGAACCCAGAGCCTTGTGCATGCAAGGCAAGCACTGTTCCATTGAGCCACCTTCCCAGCCCTCTGTTCTGTATTTTTTATCCACAGTTAATTAACTTTTCTTCTTTATCAGTTACAATTCTGTTTTATGTCTGTCAACTTCATTAGGATTTGACTTCGTAACTCATTCTTTCTGTATTCTGCCTCCTCACTGTCAAAATTAATTTTTCTACTTCTCCAGCTTATTAGTTCCCAGTCAACTTTTCTTTTTTTATTCAGTCACCTTATTTTACTATTTCATTATAGTTTGTCTTGTCTTCTTTTTCCTGCAGTAGTAGTGACTGAATCCAGGGGATTTCACATGCCAGGCAAGTGCTTTACTACTAAGTTATAGCCCTAGTCCTTGTTTTTGTTGAGATGAGATCTTCCTATATCTTGACTCATTGTGCACAAGCTGGTCTTGGAATTACAGGCATGAGCCACAATGTTCAAGTTCAGTCATTTTCTATTCTTTTTATTTTACTGATTCCTAGAGGAGTAGGAAGATGAGAGAAACAAAGAAGCCACCCTGCCTTCTTAGAGCCTGATCAGCCTTTTCACTCATTCTCAGACTTGTAAATTTGATTAGGCTTCAAAGAAGAATTTGTGCTAAAGAGATGGTTAATAAACAGAGATTTGTGTTAGGTTGAATATCAAATGTAAAAGTATATTTTTGTTTCACTTGGGTGTTTTCTGCAGTAAAGTGGTACAATTTGTCATGGTTATTCTGAGGTATGTTCATTTAGTTTTGTATATGATGACTGTCTGTCTAGCACAAGCAAAGCAAAATTGGAGAATGTTGCAGTTTTTTACTCTTTAGTTAGAAATGACATTCTTCACTATGTTGATAACTTTCGAACTAAGAAACAACAATAATAACCAAAAAAGAGACTGAAAGATAACATTTAAAATCAGTGGACAAACTGGTCAAAGACTGCAAAATCAATGGCAAAGTGCTTTCTTCAGTATCCCATGTATTAAAATTAAAACTGATACAGAGAAGATTGACATAATTTCTAAAGAAGAGTGACATGCAAATTCATAAGTCATTCTGTATTTCATAAAAATATTTGTGATTTATTTTACATTAGTTGCATCAATAAAATTGTTAAAAAATAAATAGCAAGAGTAAAGAAGTCTTAGGATCCTGCTTTAATGATAATCAACTATATCTCTTATAGATTCAAGCTCACTTATTACCTATGCTGTATTCCAGAATGTACAGAAATCTCCAGAGATGAGCAATTCTTTCCGTTGAATTTGAACTTTTAGTAACTTAGGCATTGAAATAACAGAGAAACAGTACCTCTAAATGATGGAATCAATTTATGAACTGTTCATGAATTCCTCATTATAATAGGTAGAGATACTTTAGGAAATGTCAATACTGCTCCCTTTTCTTCCAGGCAATATTTTAATTATAACATTGAATTTTCAGATATCGATTATCATGTTAGGTTTCTTTGGTATATATTATCAAGGAAACAGTATTGAAATACTAAAGCCTATATTCACTCTAAGCATGGGAGAGTCCTCATTATTATATCCTAGGAAAATTATTAGAGATAGTTCTCTGACTTTGGTATATGTAAATACTTGTTTTGCTATTCTGTCCATATTGTCTGGGATGGAGAACATTTGGGCCATGAAAATTATTTCTGTGGTCCAAGAATGATGTTACAAATATCCAAATGGCCCTTGAAAGAAAACAATTTCCTTATCCCTGTTCTAGGCAATTAAAATGTAATGTTGAACAAAATTACATCCTTGGTAAAACTATTCATTCCAAAAAGACCAAGTTAAAGCTTTCCTTGCTAATAGAATATAGGCAAAGTGGTATATTTACTAGCTCAGAGAACATTTTAAGAGTTTAACAACTGTTTTTCTAAACATAGCTCAAGGCTGTTTGCCAGTGGCTCACACCTATAATACTAGTGACTCCTAGCCTCCTAGGAGACTGAGATCTGAAGATTGTAGTTCAAAGGCAGCCCAGGCAAGAAAGTCCATGAGACTCTGTTTCCAATTAGCCTGCAAAATGGCAGATAAAGACATGACTAAAGTGGTAAAGCAATAGCCATGAGCAACCCAGGGAGAGCAAGAGGCCCATGTACAATACAAACAAAGTGATTGTTACATTTTCCTAGCTACATCATTTACCAAATGAAGATTTTGACTTTTGGTAGATACAGTCACTCATTTATTTGAGCTTTTCTGACCTGCTGCTGGGAATTTGTCGACTCACTGAAACACTTCTCTATAGAACTTCCCTAGCCCATAAGGACATCATCTGCTATAACCTGCAAACAATTGGACAGGTAAGTGCTATTAGACCAACCATACTTTTCAAGGGTGCACACACAATCAAATCTAAATAAGAAACTGAGAATATATTCTGGGAAATATAGAGGTATTTTTTATTGTTACACATTGAAGAATAGCTTTCATTATTTTTCATAATATACATAACTGCTACCACTCATGGTAGTATGTGCTTGTAGTCCCAGCATTCAAGAGGCAGAGGCAAGAGGATCAGAGTTCAAGGTCAGACTGTGCTAAATAGCAAGACTCTGTCTTAAAACAAAATCCAATAGAAAACACTACTTATCTGTTATGGAAATTTTGGAAAATTCAGAGAGGTATAAACAATTAAAAAATCAGCCATGTGCTAGTGGCTCTTGCCTGAATCCTAGCTACTCGGAGCTGAGGATCAAGGTACAAAGCCAGCCCAGATGAAAAAGTCTATGAGGCTCTTATTTTTAGTTAAGCACCAAAAAGCCAGAAGCAGAGGTGTGGCTCAAGTGGTAGAGCACCAGCCTTGAACAGAAAAACTGACATGCACACACACAAAAATTGCCCAGACATAATAATAATTTTAATATTATATGTGTGTATACACTTTTTTTGTGCCAGTTCTAGGGCTCTATCACTTGAGTCACAGCTCTGCTTTTGGCTTTTTTTGTGGGGGGGGGAAGAATTAGTTTATTGGAGATAAGAGGCTCACAGACTTTCCTGTCCAGTCTGGCTTTGAACTGTGATCCTCAGATCTCAGCCTGTTAAGGTGCAAGAATTACAGGCTTGCGTCACCAGTGCCATCAGTATCATATCTATGTATAATTTATATATATATATATATATATATATATATATATATATGTATGTATGTGTGTGTGTATATGTGTGTGTGTGTGTGTATTTGATTGGTTGGTTGGCTTGAACTCAGGGCCTAGGCACTGTCCCTGAACTTTTTTCTTTTTTCTTTTTTTTTTTTGGTCGGTTGTGGGCCTTGAACTCTGGGGGCCTGGGCACTGTCCCTGAGCTCTTCAGCTCAAGGGGCGCGCTCTACCAGTTGAGCCACAGCACCACTTCTGGTTTTCTAGTGGTTAATTGGAGATAAGAGTCTCACAGACTTTCCTACCTGGGCTAGCTTTGAACTGCAATCGTCAGATCTCAGCCTCCTTAGTAGCCAGGATTACAGGTGTGAGCCACCGGTGCCCATCTGAGCTACTTTTACTCAAGGCTAGCATTCTACCATTTGAGCCACAACACCACTTCCAGCTTTTTTGTTTATGTGGTACTGAGGAATTGAACCCAAGGCTTCATGTATGCTAGACAAACACTCTACCACTAAGCCATTCTCAGCACCTATATATTTTTAATACACAAAGTAGTGTTAATACTTTTTGTAATCAGCTTTTATTAGTCAAAATATTTTGACCATATTTCTATGTAATGAGTTACACTTTTCTGCAACTACTTTTGAAATGACAGCATAGTTTTATATTATTGGGATATAATAAACACTGGAGTTTGAAAACCAGATGTGGTGGTAGAGCACTAGCCTTGAGCAAAATGAGCTCAGGGACAGCAAGTTCAAGCCCCACAATCACAAAAAGCACATGAACAACAACAAATCCTGGTGAAAGTAACCTTATTACACTGTTGGGGGGAATGTAATCAATTGCAACCACTCTGGAAGGTGTTGTGTAGATTCTTCAAACAACTAAACACAGAATAACCCTATGATCTAGGGAGACCACTCTTGGGCATTTACCTTTGGGTAGAATATTACAAGTAAGTAAATACAGGGGCTGGGAAGGTGGCTTAGTGGTAGAGTGCTTGCCTCACATGCATTAGGCCCTGGGTTCTGTTCCTCAGCACCACATAAGCAGAAAAAGCTGGAAGTGGCATTGTGGCTCAAGTGGTAGAGCTAGTCTTGAGCTGAAGAGTTGAGGGGCAGCGCCAAGGCCCAGAGTTCAGGCCCCACAATCAACAAACAACACAACAAGTAAATAATACAGTAATGATACTGCTTGCTAGACAGTCTGCCACCTCAACCACTTGGCTAGAACTTTCTGCTTCTTTTTGTGCTGGTTTTGGAGCTTGAACTGAGCCTGGATGCTGTCCCTGAGATTTTTTTTTTTTACTCAAGGCTAGTGTTTCTACTACTTGAGCCACAGCTCTGCTTCTAGATTTTTGGTGACTAATTGGACAGAAGAGTGTTGCAGACTTTCCTACCTGTGAGCAGCTGGTGGGCATTTAGTGGCATGGTTATTTTTGAGGCAGTGTCTTGCTTTATGTCTGTTTTGGCTTTACACTGTGATTCCTTGATTGCCATCTCAAATAGAATTATAGGTTTGAGCTACCTTGCCTAGCTACTTTCTGCTATTCAACCCATCTGTTATCTCTTGCCTCAGCAGGCTAAGGCTATTTATATTGCCTTTAAATATACTTGGCAGATATTACCTTTGAGGTCACTCCTGTGCTTAGAAGGTAAAGATGGGTGAAATAAAGACAATCTCCTTGAGCTGATCCCATGGAGAAACACCAGAAATGAGGAAAGAAAGATAAATGAGTTATAATGCTATAACACTGTTTCACTCTGTCATCTTCTTTCCCTCCCTCCCTCCCTCCCTCCCTCCCTTCCTCCCTTTCTTCCTTCTTCCCTTTTTTCTTTCTTTCTTTTGAGACAGATTTTTGCTATGTAGTCCCAGCTTACCTTGAACTCACAATCCTCTTGTCTTAGAATTCTTAGTGCTGGGATGAAGGCATGCACCATCATTTTGCTCATTTATCCCCTGTTGTGGATTTTTGAGAATTCTTATATATTCTAGAATCAAGTCCTTTATATATATATATTGCAAACATTTATTCCCTGTCAATAATTCAGTCATAGGGTTTGAACTCTGGGCTTGGGCGTTATCCCTCAGCTCTTCAGCTCAAGGCTAGCACTCTCTAACTTGGGCCACAGTGCCACTTCTCATTTTCTAGTGGTTTATTCAATAAGAGTTTGACGGTGCCCCTCAGTAGATGAATAGATCGAGAAAATATGGTATATATACACAATGGAATTCTGTGTCTCCATCAGACAGAGTGATACTGCCCCATTTGTTAGGAAATGGAAAGACTTGGAAAAAATTATACTAAGTGAAGTAAGCCAGGCGCAAAGAAACATAGGTTCCATGGTTGCCCTTATTTGCAATAACTAGTATTCTGAGACAAGCAGAAAATGTCAGATAAGATGATGTTAAGTGAAATGAACCTCAAGATAAGGACACAAGTGGTTTTTTTCTTTCTTGCTATCGTTTCTAACGTATTTATAAGGTACCATTGATTTTGTTGTTGTTGCTTTGTATATCCCTCCCCCACGGTATAACCCCTGTTTTCACTGTATTTGATGTTGGTATAATTTGGAGAGTGGAAGGGAAAAAACAAATGGTTTAAATAGGGATACAGGTTGAACCATTGCAACAATTAGATGTGCAAGACTCTACGTTGAAAAACGAATTGAAATTTTAGGTGGGATTGGGAGGGGCAGGGATGTAGTTGTGGAGGTGGGAGGGAAGGGATGGTAGGGGAAAAACCAAGGAGGAGGCAACAATGTTTGATAAGAAATGTACTCATTACCTTGCTCATGTGATTATAACCCCTCTGTACAGTATTTCCAAAATAAATTTTAAAAAGAGTTTTACGGACTTTCCTGCCTGGGCTAGCCTTGAACCTTGATCCTTACATCTCAGCCTCCAATTAGCTAGGATTACAGGCATGAGCCATTGGCACCCAGCTTCATTTCACATACTTAACATTTATTTTTCTTTTTTCGTGTGGTGTTAGAGATCAACTAGTGCCTCATGCATGCAAGGCAACATTACTACTAAGTTGTACAGTTTTCAAGAGCAATAATGTTAATTTGATGAAGTCCAGTTTATTAGTTTGGTCTTTTGTTACATTTTTGGTGCTACATCTGAGAAATGTTTGCTTAATCCAAAAAAGTCCATTTTGGGGTGGGGAGGAAGATTACAATAGCCTTTTTTTTTTTTTTTTTGGTCCGGTCATGGGGCCTGAACTCTGGGCCTGAGTGCTGTCCCTCAGCTCTTCAGCTCAAGGCTAGCACGCTACCACTTGAACCATAGCACCACTTCTGGCTTTTTTTTTTCTGCTTATGTGGTGCTGAGGAATCGAACCCAGGGCCTCATGTATGCAAGGCAAGCGCTTTACCACTGAGCCACCTTCCCAGCCCATAATAGCCATTTTTGTTATTGATGTTGAAAACAGGAATTCTTTCCCTTAAACTTTGTCCTGCCAATTCCTTACTATTATGCCATTCTTTTATTTTTATAAGGATCTTAAAAAAAAAAGTAGTTCAGCATAGTGATCCAGTATGTTTATAAATATCCAGCATATTTATTTCTTTTGAATGGAAATAGCCTAGATTGCTATTCATTGAAGATGTTTTCTTTCCTTAAATTTATTTGGTAGCTTAAGCTCCCAGATCAAATATGCTAATGATATTAAGAGATGGAAACTTACTTTGACTAAGGTGTTCAGAAGCAAGGCCTTAACGAAGTGACTAGGATATGTAAGGTCTTTATAGAGTGGAGACCCCACGGTGAATCTTGGTGGACAAGCAGAGGGAGAGTAACATACATAGACAGACATGTATGTTCCTTGTTTCTTGCTGTGATGTTCTACATCATGCTAGGACTCTGCTAGCAAAAGAGTTATTACCAGACAAAGACCGTAGAACTTGTAACTTCTGGACTAGGAATCAAAGGAAGCCTTTTTCTTCAAAAGGAACCTGCCAGGACTCGGAAGGTGGCTCAGTGGTAGAGTGCTTGCCTTGTATACATGAAGCCCTGGATTTGATTCCTCAGTACCACATTAAAAAAAAAAAGTCAAACAAAAGGAACCTGCCTCAGGTATTTTGTTACCATACTGAAAATAGACCTATATAGCTATTATGATTCTAAATTAAAATCCATATTGTCTTTTCAATTAAAAAAATAGTAGAAGGGATGGGAAGGTGCTCAGTGGTAGAGTGCTTGCCTTGCATGCATGAGGCCCTGGGTTTGATTCCTCAGCACTACATAAGCAGAAAAAGCCAGAAGTGGCACTGTGGCTCAAGTGGTAGAATGCTAGCCTTGAGCCGAAGAGCTGAGGGACAATGCCCAGGCCCAGAGTTCGGTCCCCATGACCAACAAAAAATAAAAATTAAAAATTAAAAAAATATAAATATTAGAAGATTTTATGTCTTCATAAAAGTGGAGTACTTAGGTAAGAGGAGGTGAATAATTCTGTTGGTCTTCTGAACAATCAAAAGGATATATAGTAAGTTGAACTTATTTTAGGTAGGTTTGAGTAGAATACCTAGAAGTGATCTCATTTGTGTGGTATGGACACTGATGGTATATTACCAACAAGCCAGTAGTTAGGATTCTAATACTAGAAAATAATAGATCTTAGGAAGTTAGAATGGGACAGTTATGATGGGGTATTTTGATTTTTGTCTAGATATTCTACATTTCCTCACTTCTTTACACCGTCAGTCACATCTGGTATCCGTACACAGAGCTGAGAATGAAACAGAGTGGACAGAACACATCTCCTCTGGTAAGTTTTATTCAGAACTAATAATTAAGAATAGTAGGAAGTGGTGCTGTGGCTCAGTTGGGAAGCGCTAGCCTTGAGCTGAAGAGCCGAGGGACTGTGCCCAGGCCCAGAGTTCAAGCCCCACGACCCCCCCCAAAAAAAAAAAAAAAAAAACTCCCAGAATAGTAGGCTAAAATAAGCCTATATATCCATGCCAAACAGTATAAGCACTCAGCACTAGAGGCACATTTTTTTCAGGTTAATCAAAGAAAAAAACATATTCCCACTGAATTTCTATTCTGTTGACATTACTTCCTCTTCTCCATTGCTGTACACACATTAAAAAAAGGTTTTATTATAGGAAACATAATTTAGCAGTACTGCTAATCCTGCTATTTCTACCTGGTTTGATTCAGTAAGGGAAATCTTTGGCTCCATGTCAATCCATCATTGTTACTATAGTAAAGGAAAAGATCTTGGAGAAAGCCAGGGGAGGCGCTGCATTTGTTACATTGGGATTGGCGATACAGACTTGGAAGAGGGAGGGCATTTGTTCTCCTCTGCTATATTACTGTAATCTGTGAAGATGACAGTATTGGTTTGCAGAAAGTCAAAGTGGATCTAAAGAAGGTGGATCTTGGCTTCTTCAATTCACAAACAGGATTTGAGACACTGTCCAGTATTGTAATGATAAGAGAGGAGAATGCTAAGTCAGCACATATGAATTTTTAATGTATATATGTGCATATTTTACATATTACATATTCTCCTGTTTAAGTGTAAAATTCAGTGATGTTTTTAGTAAACTTACCAAATTGTGTTATTATAATCAACCCTTTTCGCCCTAGGCAACCATTATTTTACTTTTTGTTTCTATCCATCTGCCTTTCTGGACATTTCATGTAAATACAAAAATAATATATGTGATATCTTGTATATTGTTCTTTCATGTAGTATATATAATGCTTTGAAGTTTGTACATTTTAGCATGTATGAATAATTCCTTTTTTCCTCGGCGCCAGTGGCTCATGCCTGTAATCTTACCTACTTGGGAGGATGAGATCTGAGGATCAAGGTTCAAAGCCAGCCCAGGCAGAAATGTCTGTGAGAGGGGCTGGGAAGGTGGCTCAGTGGTAGAGTGCTTGCCTCGCGTGCATGAGGCCCTGGATTCAATTCCTGAGCACCACGTAAACAGAAAAAGCCACAAGTGGCGCTGTGGCTCAAGTGGTAGAGTGCTAACCTTGAGCTGAAGAGCTGAGGGACAGCACCCAGGCTCAGAGTTTAAGCCCCACAATGGACAAAAGAAAATAAAAGTCGGGGCTGGGAAGGTGGCTCAGTGGTAGAGCGCTTGCCTTGCATGCCTGAGGCCCTGGGTTCGATTCCTCAGCACCACAGAAGAAAAAGAAAAAAGCTGGAAGTGGCGCTGTGGCTCAAGTGGTAGAGCGCTAGCCTTGAGCTGAAGAGCTGAGGGACAGCGCCCAGGCCCAGAGTTCAGGCTGCACACCTGGACCCAAAAAAAAAAGAAAAGAAAAGTCTTTGAGACGCTTATTTCCAATAAACCATTCAGAAAACTGGAAGTGACGCTGTGGCTCCAGTGGTAGAGCACTAGTCTTGAGCTGAAGAGCTGAGGGACAGTGCCCAGGCCCAGAGTTCAGGCCCCATGACCAATAACAACAACAACAAATTCCTTTTTATTGCTGAATAATATTTCATTGCATATGAATTGAGTTTTTTGTTGTTGTTGTGTTTTTGTGTGTGTGTGAGCTTGTCTTGGAACTTGAACTCAGAGCCTGGGCACTGCCTCTAAGCTTTTTTTGTTCAAGGCTACCTCTACCCCTTGAGCTACAGCACCACTTCTGGCTTTTTCTATGATTAATTTGAGATGAGAGTCTCATGGGTTTTCCTGCCCAGGCAGACTTCAAACTGCAGTCCTTGGATCTCAGCCTCCTGAGTAGCTAGGATTACAGTCGTGGGCCAACAGCACCTGACTTACCCTGTTTTTTTTTTTTGTTTTGTTTTGTTTTGTTTTTTTGTTTTTTTTTTAATGCTTTGTTCAAAATCTTTCCTTGTAGAGTCCAAGTGGGTAGCAACAATTCTTAAGTTATTTTAGAGTTTCTAATACAAGCAGTGAATATTTGTGTTACAGTGCAATGGCTTTGAACCTAGGCCTCCTATATACTAAGCAATTACTCTATTACTGAGCTATACCACTAACCTAACAAGTAGAGTTTTACATACTCTGTTTTTTAGGATCTAAAGGTTTTATATCAAAAGAGCTTATTTGACCTTGCCCAATTAAATCAACAATGGCATGTTAATGCTTTTCTGTTAGGTACTTGTTTTTTTTTTTTTTTTTGCCAATCCTGGGGCTTGAACTCATGCCCTGGGCACTGTCCCTGACCTTCTTTTGCTCAAGGCTACCACTTGAGCCACAGTGCCACTTCTAGCTTCTTCTGTTTATGTGGTACTGAGGAATTGAACCCTGAGCTTCATGCATGCTAGGCAAGCACCTACCACTAAGCCACATTCCCAGCCCCGTGTTGTGTATTTTATAGAGTTTCATTCCACTCAAGAGGTATGAAAATATCATTTCTTTCTGGGTCTAAAAGAAAAAAGCTAAACATCTATCAAAACTATTATCAAAAGAGGGAGAGTTACTGTATGATTTCATACTTGCCTTTTTTCTTAAGAGAATTTGTTTGGATACTCAGTAGTTATCTACCCAGTTTCCTGAGTAGCTAGAATTAGAGGCATGATTGAGTAGGTAGAATTACAATCATGATGGGCACTCAAATCTTAAATAATTTCCTGCTCTATTTTTCAGACTCTAGTAATACAGATTAAATTCTATCATCACCAGGGCTAAGAGTCATCTCATGAATTTTATGATGAATATTGCTTGAGAGGGGAAACTGGCTCTGGAAATCTCTCTGTTCTATTGAGTGGGAAGTGATGATCTGGGTCTGGCATTTATTGTAATATGAATAACAATGTCTTAAGATGTTTTTCACATGTATTCTTAACATAGGTGAGAGATTGTAGTTGTCCACTTGGTTGTGTGGCCTTTATGTTGCCAAGGTAAGGTCTTTTTCTTTTCTCTCTCTCTCTCTTTTTTTTTGTCATCGATCATAGTACTTGAATTCAGGGTGAGGGTGCTGTCCCTGAATTCCTTTGCTCTTGCTAGCACTCTACTACTTTGAGCCACAGCTCCACTTCTGGTTCTTTGGTTAATTGGAGATAAGAGACTCATGGACTTTCCTACCCAGGCTGGCTTTGAACAGCAATCTTCACATCTCAGCCTCCTGAGTAGTTTGGATTACATAAGCCCCAGTGTCCAGCTAGGTCTTTTTCTTTCCTACTATTAGAGACTCACTATTGTGGTATCTCAGTGGCATCAAACAGTGCTATCTCCATTGTCACTAAGTCCTTTCAGAGCCTTAGTCAGAAGCCACCCATATGAGATCATTGGCTCGTTTTCTACATGGACTAGGAAATTATTTTGATTTGTTAGAGTTGAATTTTAACCAAAATTCTTCCATCAGTTCTGGGTGAATTTGAACAATTTCCTTTAAGTCTTTGGGCTTCTAATTCCTTTAGTTATTTAATAAAGAGCGGTCTTCAAGTAAGGAAATACTGAATAGGAATCTCAGACCTAGAAAGGTTCTGTGGTGGTCACCTCAAGCTGACGTTGCTCCTAAACGTGGTTGTATTTATTGGATGAATAGCTGCCTGCTTAAAGGTATACTCTGGAAAAAGCACATAGGAACAAGCTAAGGAGAATGAAGTTATTCCTGGCCACCTCGGAAATTGAAACAGACTACATATAGAGTTCTTTGGTAGATTTTCTCTCACTTTTTTTTTTTTTTGTCGGTCATGGGGCTTGAACTCTGGGCTTGGGTGCTGTCCCTGCGCTCTTCAGCTCAAGGCAAGCGCTCTACCACTTGAGCCACAACACCACTTCCGGTTTTTTAGTGGTTTATTGGAGATAAGAGTCTCATGGACTTTTCTGTCTGGGCTGGCTTTGAACCGTGATCCTCAGATCTAAGCCTCCTGAGTAGCTAGAATTATAGGCATGAGCCACTGGCCCCCGGCTTTTCTCTTACTTTTATGAATTTAGATTTTTTTTTTTTTTCAAAACTAGGATTTCAGTTTAAATTAGGGGCCTTGTGCTTCCTAAGTAGATGCTCTACCACTTGAACCTTGCTCTCAACCTTTTTTCCTTTAGTTAATTTTTGGATAAGGTCTCCCATTTTTTGCTTAGGCCTGGCAGGACCATAATCCCACTAATTAAAATTCCTGTAAAAAAATAAAATTCCTGTATAGCTGGAATGATAGGCATATGCCACTGTGCCCAGCTTATTTTTCAGATGGAGTCACTAACTTTTTGCCTTGCTTGACCTTAAACCATGATCCTCCTGATCTCTGTCTCCCAAAGAGCTGGAATTCCTGGGGTGAGCCACAATGCTAGGATTTTTTTTTTTTTTTTTTTGTCAGTCGTGGAGCTTGAACTCTGGGCCTGGGCTCTGTCCCTGAGCCTCTCTGTACTCAAAGCTAGCACTCTACCACTTGAGTTACAGTGCCACTTTCAACTTTTTCTGTTTATGTAATAGTACTGAGGAATTAAACGCAGGATTTCATTCATGCTAGGCAAGCACTCTACCACTAAGCCACATTCCCAGCCCTTCTTTTATTTTAGAAAGTCAGACATTTAGCCATGAGATGTAACCTGATATAAGAGGTAAAATATCCTTATTTAATTCAAATATTAACAACTGCCCTTCCTAATATATAGTTTATAATGGGTTAGATTGGATAAGTTTATGAAAGAGCTTAATACATTCTGAATAATAAGAATAAATTAGCATCTTCCTACAGTATATCTTGACACCATTACTGCACTAATCTGTGAAGTTTAATCAATAAGGACTAGAAATCAGAAACCAAAGTCCCTATCATTTCTTTTTTTTGGGGGGGGAGGGGAGGTCCGGTCGTGGGGCCTGAACTCTGGGCCTGGGCGCTGTCCCTCAGCTCTTCAGCTCAAGGCTAGCACTCTACCACTTGAGCCACAGTGCCAGGTCCGTTTTTTTCTTTTTTTTGCTTATGTGGTGCTGAGGAATCTAACCCAGGGCCTCAGGCATGCAAGGCAAGCGCTCTACCACTGAGCCACCTTATTTTACCACTAATCTTTGATTTACCTGTGGCTTACATACTAAGAATGCACAGCCAGGCATACTAAGGAACTTTAGTCTTTGGGCAGGGAGAATTACCATAAGATTTTCACTTTCTGTATTCACAGCTGTTATTCTGATGATCATAAAGCTAATCAAGTCACAAGACTACAGCTACACATAGTCCTATATATACTCTAGGTAACATCTTCAAATCCACAATCTATTTTCTTTCTTTTTTTTTTTTGTTCGGTTGTGGGGCTTGAACTCTGGGCCTGGGCACTGTCCCTCAGCTCTTCAGCTCAAGGTGAGAGCTCTACCACTTGAGACACAGTGCCACTTCTAGTTTTCGAATGGTTTATTGGAGATGAGAGTCTCACGGACTTTCCTGCCTGGGCTGGCTTTGAACTGTGACCCTCAGATCTCAGCCTCCTGAGTAACTAGGATTATAGGTGTGAGCCACTAGCGCCCGGCCACAATCTATTTTCTTAACTCTTATCCTGTTCTCTTATACTGATATTACTTAGTAAGCACAATCACACACAAACCCCACGTATTTATTTCTACATTGTTCAAGAGAATAGGTACTATTTATGCTCAGTTATGAAAATGTAAAATTTGCCTCAGACAGAGGAAAGATAGCTGCTTTAGTATAAGTGCTTCTGATGGTGGAGAAGAAAGAGTAGGAGAGCGTGTGTATTTGATTAAAGTACCTTGCGTTAATTGTGGAAATATTACAGTGAAATCCCTTGGTACAGTTAATATATGCAGGGAGAGGGGGATTGGAGAGAGCTTACTGCTTTGTGTTGGACATTGTGGGGCATACCTGTAATTCCATCTAATTGGGAAGTAAAATAGTAGGAGGATAATGATTTAATGCCAGCCTGGGAAAAAAAAAAGTTAGGAACACTGTATCTCAAAAACAAGCTGGGGCCAGGTGCCTGTCATCCTAGCTACTCAGGAGGCTGAGATCTGAGGATCGCGATTCAAAGTCACCTGGTCAGGAAAGTCTGTGAGACTCTTATCTCCAATAAACCACTAGAAAACCAGAAGTGGTGCTGTGGCTCAAGTGGTAGAGCCCTCGCCTTGAGCTGAAGAGCACAGGGACAGCACCCAAGCCCAGAGTTCAAGCCCCACGACTGACCAAAAAACAAACAAACTGGGGAGCTGGGAAGGTGGCTCAGTGTTAAGAGTGCTTGCCTTACATGCATGAGACCCTGGGTTCGATTCCTCAGCACCACATAAGCAGAAAAAGCTGGATGTCGTGCTGTGGCTCAAGTGATAGAAGACTAGCCTTGAGCTGAAGAGCTCAGGGACAGCACTCAGGTCCACAACTGACCAAAACAAAACAAAGAAAAACAAAAAACAAGCTGGGCACAGTGCCACACATTTATAATCCCACCTACTTGGGAGACAGAGAATATCAATCCAAAGCCAACCAGGCCAAGAGATCCTATTTGAAAAACTAAAGGAAAAAAGGCTGGAGTCATGGCTCAAGTAGTAGAGTGCTTGCCTAATAAGCTCAGGACCTTAATTCAAACCCCAGTATAGCCATCAAGAAACAAAAACAAAAAGTGCTGCCATATACCACAAAGCAAACGTATCTCTAGGGAGCTTTGTTTTATTGATTTGTTTTTTTAATGGGCAATAAAAGAAAAAAACCAAGATCATACTCTTATGATCTCATGCTCTTAGTATCTAGAAACACTAATAGTGATGATTTCTTCAATCCAGAGTCGATTGAGTGAGATAAATTAGCTATTCTTAGTGAACAAGGGAGTTTGTGATATTCTTATTCTCCCCTTTACTCCATTGTTCAAACTTTTCCGATTATCTTAACTATACTGACTAGATAGTTTTCCCTGTGATATGGGCCAGCATTAAGAGGCATTGAAGCCTTTCCTTGTCCTCATTACCTGTAATGTACATACTAAGAAATATGACCAACTCTCAATCATCTATGAAAAGTACATTTAAAGAGTGAGTCCAGGAGGTGCAAAGGTAGCTCAGTGGTAGAGTGCTTGTCTTGCATTAATGAGGCTCTGGGTTCGATTCCTCAGCATCACATAGGCAGAATAAAGCCAAAAGTGTTGGGGCTGGGAAGGTGGCTCAGTGGTAGAGTGCTTGCCTTGCCTTCCTGAGGCCCTTGGTTCCATTCCTCAACACCACATAAGCAAAAAGTAAAAAGCCGGAAGTGGCACTGTGGCTCAAGTGGTAGAGCGCTAGCCTTGAGCTGAAGAGCTGAGGGACAGCGCCCAGGCCCAGAGTTCAGGCCCCATGACCAACAAAAAAAAAAAAAAAAAGAGTGAGTCCAAGAAGAGCTAGAAAATATTTTTAAAAACCAACCAAACCAAAAAACAGCTACATTTTGATATGCAATACAAAAGAACCTGTAACAGTGTTTTATAAATAAAATTGAGAAGGATTATTCTGGGTCTCTGCAAACTGCCCTGAAGGTTGGGCTTCATCACCCCTTCGTCTTCTCCAGGCTTTAACAGCAACATCCCAGGGTCTGCTCAACTGTGGAGTACATGGCTAGACACGGCACAAGTTCTGCCAAGTAAAGCAAGAGTCTCAATGTGATGCAGATACCCAGACACCATTAACCATTATTATTTTCTTCTTGGGCTTTATTATTATTATTATTGCCAGTTCTGGGGCTTGAACTCAGAGCTTGTGCGCTGTCCCGAGCTTTTTTTTTTTTTTGTCTTTTCTTTTTTTTTGGTACTGGGGATCGAACTCAGAACGTTGCACTTGCTAGGCAAGCGCTTTGCCACTGAGCTACATTCTAGCCCAGCTACATCCCAACCGTCCCTGAGCTTCTTTTTGCTCAAAGCTAGCACTCTACCAATTGAGCCACAGTGCCACTTTCAACTTTTTCTGTTTATATGGTGCTGAGGAATTGAACCCAGGGCCTCATGCATGTGCAGTAAGCACTCTACCACTGAAGCCACCTTACCAGCCCTTGGGCTGGCTTTTAAACCTCAATCCTTTAGATCTCAGCCTCCTGAGTAGCGAGGATTGCAGGTGTGAACCACCAGCACCTAGCTATATTTTCATTCATCATTGTGTATAAGACAGCTGGTTGAAGTAGTGTTAGCTGAAATTACTGAAGCCTTGATCTACAGTAATAAATTCATTGCATGGTACTGTGGTTCCCGTCTTGGCACTTGTAAGCCACATAGTTAAGCTTCATTCCCAAGCTGTGGCCAAGCACTCATGAACCATGAAAATTGGAAGACTGGGCATCTCTTTATGTGAAAGATTCATTCTTAGCAATATAAATACCACTGAGAAAAAGTGTGGCCCAGGTCTGGGAAGGTGGCTCAGTGGTAGAGTGCTTGCCTTGCATGCATGAGGCCCTGGGTTCGATTCCTCAGCACCCCATAAGCAAAAAGACAAAACCAGGAGTGGTGCTGTGGCTCAAGTGGTAGAGCGCTAGCCTTGAGCTGAAGAGCTGAGGGACAGCGCCCAGGCCCAGAGTACAGGCCCCACGACCGGACCCAAAATAAAAAGGAAAAAAAAAAAAGATGTCTGCAGATTCTAGAATTTTTTTTTGGGGGGGGGGGGGTCCGGTCGTGGGGCCTGAACTCTGGGCTTGGGCGCTGTCCCTCAGCTCTTCAGCTCAAGGCTAGCGCTCTACCACTTGAGCCACAGCACCACTTCCGACTTTTTTCTTTTTGCTTATGTGGTGCTGAGGGATCGAACCCAGGGCCTCATGCATGCAAGGCAAGCGCTCTACCACTGAGCCACCTTCCCAGCCCCAAGATTCTAGAATATTTGTACTAGGTTTCTTTCTGTCCTTATCTTTTTTTTGGTGGGGGGGGGGCAGTCGTGGGGCCTGAACTCTGGGCCTGGGCACTGTCCCTCAGCTCTTCAGCTCAAGGCTAGCACTCTACTACTTGAGCCACAGTGCCACTTCCGGCTTTTTTCTTTATTGCTTATGTGGTGCTGAGGAATCGAACCCAGGGCCTCAGGCATGCAAGGCAAGCGTTCTACCACTGAGCCACCTTCCCAGCCCTCTGTCCTTATCTTGAACTGAGTAAATGTTACTTGCACATTTACCACATTCATGTAATACTTGATGAGCGCATAGTTGTCTTTTGCCACATACTGTCTTACATTATTTCATGTTAGGAGTAACTATCAACCACAATAAACATTTCTAAATATTTGGGAAGTAGCCATTTATGAGTATATATCTATATAGGTATATATAGATATATACATGGAGAGAAAACATGAGGAATGGGTTCTGTTCTGCTTTGAAATTGTGAAGTGGTTCAGGGCTTCTCTTGTTCATCTCCAATGACTACATAGATTCATCTGATGTCCCAGATATGTCATATGTCAACCATATGCTCAAAAAATAGTTTATATATAGACAGTGCCATGTCAATTCAGAACTTCCTTTAGCTGTGAGAAAGTGCTGTAGTCGAAAAAAATACAGGTGACCATTTTAATATACCCATGGAAGTAGTGCTGATTCTGTATAAGAGGCATGTTTCTTACTTTAATGAGTATTGACTAGGAAAGTATTGACAATCTCATTTTCCTCACAACTCAAACCTTCCATTATCCTCAGAAGTAGGACCTAGACCATTCTACTTTTCCTTCTAGCCATTGTACACTGTCATATACATAGGCGTAACTTTGATAGTAGAGATCTCTCACTTAATTTCCCATGAAAGTGTTTCTGTCATCAGCAAGATAATGTTCTACAGCCTAACTATTCTGTTCTCAATCTCTCCATATAATTCCTAGATAAAAAAAATACACCAAATTTAATCTATGACTATTAAACTTCATAGAAGAGTCAGGAGGCCAATTAAACTACAGGGAATGCTATTGTCATAGCCAGAGTGAAACAGCCAACGATCCTGGACCTTTCTATCTCAGTTCCTTTCCTGGATATACTTGTTGTTAGTGGTACGGGTTTTTGGTCAAATATTAAAGCTAAGCTGCCTGCAGGGAGTGTAGCTGCTCGCGCTTCTGGGTATTACGTGGTGGTGCCTGCCTGTTGACCGTCTCTTCTGTTTTTCTTTTTCTTCTCATCACTTCTTTGTCCCATCTTCCAAGAGTGCCCTTATTTGCACTCTCCCTCCATGTTCAGTGCTCTTGAGTTAAACTCCTGTCACCATAGAGATTGTTCTCTGAGCATTCTATAGCTGTTAATGTATTTTGTAAATATACAATATATAGTCTATGGTTTAGCTTAATTCCGCTGCTTTTTTTTTTTTTTTTGCCAATCCTGGAGCTTGAACTCAGGGCTTGGGCACTGTCCCTGAGCTGCTTTTGCTCAAGGCTAGTGCTGTACCACTTGAATCACAGTGACACTTCCGGCTTCTTCTGTGTATGTGGTTCTGAGGAACCAAACCCAGGGCTTCATGCGTGTGAGGCAAGCACTCTAACACTAGGCCACATTCCCAGCCCAACCCCAGTGCTTTTTTGATGGTATTTTTGCTCTAGGAGATCTGTCCTATTGACAAAAGTAGAATGTTACTCTCCTCAAATTTTTTTGCATTAGAGTTGGTGTCTCCTTTTAGAGTTAATTATGTTTGCTGAAAAATATTTGCTGGGTGCAGTGACTCAAGCCTGTAATCCTAACTACTTGAGAAGCAGAGATCAGTGGTTCAAGATTACCCTGGGAAAAGATAAAAGACTACATTTTGATTAATTTGGAGAAGTGGCATGAACATTATGTCCCACGGACACAGGGAAGCAAAAAGAGGAAGATTACAATGCAGGCCAGCCTGAGCATTAAGAAGAAAACTATCTTGAAAATTACAAACCCTAAAAGGGGCTGGCTTAAGTGGCAGAGGACCTCTTTAGAAATCATATGGCCTGCCAAGCCCTGGTGGCTCACACCTGTAATCCTAGCTAATGAGCAGGCTGAAATCTGAGGATCACGGTTCAAAGTCACCCAGGCAAGAACATTCAAAGCCAGCCTGGACAGGAACATCCATGAGACTCTCATCTCCAATTAACCACCAGAAAACTGGAAGTGACCCTGTGGTTCAAGTAGTAGAGTGCTAGCCTTGATCTGAAGAGCTCAGGGACAGCGCCCAGGCCCAGAGTTCAAGCACCATGACTGACAAAAATGAAAACAAAACAAAAAAGAAAGCATATGGCCCTAAATTCAAACCCTAGTATCACCAAAAAATAATGAAAGAAAAAAAATACTGAAAAGTATCTTTAACATACAAGTTACATGCTCTAAAATTCATCCATTTAAAGCTTACAATCCGTGGGTTTTGGAAATGTTTACAGATTGTGGAACTTTCACCACCTGAGCTGACTCGGTGTAGTACTTCTCACCTACAATTCTAGTTACTTGGGAGGTGGAGAACAGTGAGATCATGGTCTGAGGCCAGCCTGGAAAAGAAGTTAGGGAATCTCTCAACCAATGACCCAGGGACATAATAGCCTGTGCATGTCATCCCAGCTACACTGGAAGCATGAATAGGAGGCTTGTAATCCAAGGCCACCTAGACAAAAATGCAAGATCCCAGTTGAATAACTAAAGCAAAAACTAAGAGTTTAGTTCAAGTGCTTAGCAAGTGCTAGGACCTAGGTTCAGATTATAGTATATCCTGGTAGATATAAATTCAGTAATATATCATACTATATAATAATTCAGGAATGTATCATACATCAACAAGTTACGTGGAAGAAAGCATGTCCTGAAAAAAGAGTTTCTAATAACTTAAAAAAGGTCCAAGTGACAAGGACTTTGATGTTCAGATACATTTGATAAGTTCAAATGAAATGTGACAAAACGTACTAAGACATTTGATGCATTAATGATCACTTATTTACTAAATAATAAAGATAGAAGAATCCCTCCTGCAACATGAGTATAATTTTAGACTGAAGGGCTTCTAGTCAGAGACACTAAGCCCATCAGTTCCCACCTAACCTGTTTCCCCGACCTTCTCATTGTCACCTCGTGCCTCAGGAATTGGATATACTGGACTCCATTTTCCCTCTTATTAGTCTGATTCTTCCTCATCCTCTTCTTCTTCTTCCTCTTCACCTTCCTCTTCCTTTTTCTCCACCTCTTCTGGTTTTTCTTCCTCTTGCACTTCTGGTTTCTCTGCCTCTTTCCCTAATTCTTCTTCTTCTTCTTCTTCTTCCTCTTCTTTGGCAATACATAAAAGGTAAATAATTACTCCTAATATTATTATTGACAAAATTATCACAACAATTATAATTTGTGTGCTTTTAGCCAGTTCATTTTTGGTTTTAGTTTCTTCTTCTTGTGGACCTTCTTTCTTGGGCTGCTCTGGTGGGCCACTGTCCAAACTCCCACCATTTCCTCTATTTCTGCAATCTGGAGGTGCAGTGCCAGGTATACAATGGCAGTGCATTAAATCATTGCAAACTCCTCTTGAATTACACATTGTATGTAAATTGCAGGAAGGTTTGATTATTTCAGTGTGAATACAAGTATAATCTTGACAAGTTTTCCTGTCACCACAAATACTGCCTCTCCATACATCTCCATCTTCAGGGACTCCTGCCGTCTTAAAAGCATCCATGGTCCAACAGAAATCTTGCTCATGAGGTACCTGAATAAGGGTATGACCAGGTGTGATTTTTGGCATTGAAGTTACACTCATACATACAATTTTACCACAAACTGCATTTTCATCAGGACACTTGACAAAGCTTCCTGAAGACCCAGAGACACGGCCACAGTGTCCAAATCTATTGCCTCTGCTGTTCAGTGCAACATAACATGCCCTTGGAGCGGATGTTGCACTTTCCCCAAACACAAACATACACTGTCCATTATAGTCCATGCAATGACCATTAAGACAATAATATTCTTCATTACATGGACTGCCATCTTCTAAATATCTGTTTTGAGGGCATTTTGCTGAAGCACCATCACAGTATTCTGGGAGGTCACACAACCCAAAAAGAGCACGACACATGAATCCACGCTTTTGAATTTGGCATCTAGCACAGCAGGGTTCATTACTACATACTGCATTACGTTTTAGTTCACAATTCCGGTTACAGCATGGGTCACTGTCACAAGAACCCCCACAGTCACACTGCTCCGACTCCTCTATCACACCGTTTCCACACGTAGCACTCCTGTGCTTGCGGCTTCTGCGCTGTGGCTTGTTAAACAGACAAGCCCCTTTGTGTGCGAGAAGGAAACGGTAGAAGGAGTCAGAGCTGCAGTTGCTGAAGACACTTCCTTGGGTGATGTTTTCATGCATGAGGCAAAAGTGCTTGCCTTTACAAGAGCAGGCTGAGTGGTCATGCTGAATGCCCAGGTTGTGTCCGAGCTCATGGACCATGAGTGCTGCAAAGAGGAGGACATCTTTGTGATGGAAAGATTCCACAGCCGCCGCAAAACCACGTGAACAGGCACCATCGAGAAATGCCTGGCCCATGCTCTGTCCGGGATGATGCCCGACGATCATGTGGGCAACATCGTGCCTCACACGGTGGAGGAGCTTGTCTCGCCGCCAGCTGTTGAAATTCCTGAGTGCCACCTGCAGGTCCACCAGGACCTCTGCCAGGTCCCCCTCGGTCCAGATCTCCACCCCAGCCAGCACCACCTTTGTATTGAGTCCCCTGGTGAAGCTGTTGGCCAGAGCAATGATGTCCAGTACTCCCTGGACCGTGTCATTGATGTTACTGCCCCACATCTGGAACCTCTGGTAGTTGACCACCACAAACATCTCCACATACTTGGTGTGTGACCACAAGTAGGACAGCCCCTGGAGGTGATGAGGCTCCCTGCTCTCTTGCTGCCGGCCAGTGGGCAGCACTTGGCTGTGTGTGGAAGCCACACGACAGGAGGCTGGGGCTTGATGTGCCATGGCGTACAAGACATGTTCGAACCGTTGGGAAGAGGGCATGGGCTCAATGCGGTAGGATGCCTCCTCCTTAATCAGGATGCCCCTGAGGCCTGAACAGGTGTTGACAGAAACAAAAGAATGTGGCACTCCTTCTATGTAGCCTTCATAGTGGCAGTCCTGTGAGAGCCAAGGCACTGCTTGCTCCAGGACACCACGTTGGTAACTGTAGACAGGAAAGCCGCTCACAAAGTAGTCTGTCTTCACCTTCAGGTGAACCAGCTGCTTCTGGCCTTGTATGAACAGCATGTACGATGCGGCTTGGACCAGACCTTCGCCTCTCTTGACTGTCAGCTGCTCTGGGATGACTATTTCATGGGAAGAGCCGTGTACCGATTCCAGGTCACAGTGCATGCTTGGGAGAAGAATTACCCCCAGGAGCAACATGGCTGCCAGCCTGACACACCGATGTCCTGCTGCAAGTTCCAGCCTCAGTCCCTTCATTGGGGGAGCCCAAGTCTGAAACATTACCTCAACTGCTTCTAGGGTCACTTGCCTTTTGCACAGAGAAGGCAGGATGGAGGCTGAGACTCTCGGAGATGTCACCACTGACATGGCCCAAAGGAATCAGTTGATCAGGTAAACGCCAGGCCTGTGTCCATCAGCAGCACGTTGCCTGACAAGCTCTTCTGAGACGCGGTACTATCCCCGGAGGTGTGCTGGCTCCTTGTGGGCAGTTGCTGACCCACACTTAAGCACGGCCTTCAGGCTGTGTCTTTTCCTATTGTTTCTCACCTGGCCTTCAGCAGTAGCCACTGGACAGAAGTTCCTTTCAACAGCCACAGTTTGACGTTCCCTGGCTATGTTTCTTTTTATGTTCATGGAGAGATGAACCAGGTAGAAGGCTTGGTGTGGTTCAGCAGTACAGTATCTCTGATTTCACTTTGTTTTGTCCAGGCCACACTGCTCCTGATAGCCGTTAATCTGCTCATTCTTTCAAATCCAGCATTCTGGCGAGTGGCCCTGGGGGAGGGGCTGCAGATTCTCTGGGGATCTCTGAGCAGGACGGTGTTCTCTGTTGCCCACTGCCTCTTCCTCTTGTCTGCAGGTTTCTGCGTGATGTTTCTCTGTTCAGTCCTCCTTAGTCAGTGATTTGGTATTTTTCTCTCCCTGAAAATCATGATAGTCCAAGTTTTTAGTAAATG